ATGTTTAGCACAAGTCTGGTCAAAGGATTGGCTTCACTTGTCTCTTTGACGAGTTGTTGTGTGGTGCCAAGAGTGGCGATACTCACTGACGATGCCGGCGAAACGTCTGGAAATGTACCACGTCCACGGTCCTACTCTGGAAACGATGATGCATACAATGGACTCCGGACTAGGTGCGTTTCTTTAAGTCTTCCTACCAATATGACCGAGTTGCGAAAACAAGATCAAACAACTTCTATACCTTGAGTTGTGATTGTAGTTTTCCTTCCAATGTATATGCGAATGAAAGTAGGGCTTCGAAGAATCTCTTGTTTCATAATTATTGAGCTTACTTCCATTTGGAGTGAAAATGTTTGGTGAAGAGATTCGAATGTTGATTCTACCAGAAAACGACGGTTATCTTCTTTATGTGCTTATAATTTTCCTTAGAGCACTATAGGTATCATTAAAAAAATTCATTCATTCGCAGTGAGTTTAGAGAAAGCTGGAATCAAATTTTAGAAACTATAGATAAGTTTAGGTAGAAAGATAGATATTTTAAGAAGTGTTTACTCAGTGAATTGCAATAACTTGTGACATAGATAGGCAAAATATTTATTGCAAGCTCACATATAAAAAACCAGCTCACACATAGACACATACGCAATCTTCTTGGACTCATAAGCTCCTATTTCAGGTGGGCGGAGCAAACTATGCTCCTTCATCTTTCCTTATGTACGTTGTGGAAGCTGGCTGGCTCCTTCCGAACAGGTTGCATTCTCAGGCCGACAGTATCCTTTTTGTGGGCCGTCACTTTAGCCCGGATAAATTACTTGTTTATCCTGTCTCCGACGCATCTCACTTCACTCTCTTGTATTAACTTACTTTGCATGACCGAGTGCAGGGCTCGAATTACCCTGACCCAAGTGATACTGTTTTGAAGGCAGCATAAGAGCTCTATCACCATACAGCACTCAAGGTTATAAACGAAGAATTTTGCATTTGTGCTCGTTTCCTTATCTACTTATCAGGCATTTACCATTTTCAATCATTAATTTGATGACACTATACCTCATTGTCGTAGGCAACCTTTATATATTGCATGTAATCAGTAATCAGTAGAATTGGGCTTCTGGCATGAAGAATTTTGCGAGCGATTCCAAATTAAATTAAGACTCTTGTATTATATTCCAGGCTTCATGGCACTTTTGCCCTTACAAATGCCAATTATTCAGTTGATTGCATTTTATATTCACATCCCCGTAATTCATAACGTTGTATATCATACTCCATTTACTTCTCCTTTTTGACTCCAGCCTCAGCCCCCCTTTCGCTTCTCCCTTCGCAATTTATCTTGGAGTTTCTATAGTTTCGATCAGCAAGCTTCGACTGTTTGAATATTTAATATTACATGTTTGGCTTCTTAGAGAAGAGACCTGTCTCATCCCTTCTACTAAATGGCCATTTGAAAATAATTTTGAAGAAGAGTATATTTCAAGAATAATATTATTTGAAAGTATTATTCACTCGCATTATATGTTTGCTTTCCATTTGTATCATCAACATTTCTAGTTATTGCAACTTCCTTTATTTGGTCTACTGCGGGCTGTTTTCCATTCAAAAGTTATGCCTTGAATTAATCACCATCTATTTTGCAAAATTTGCACTTCTTTTCTCAATTCTGCCTCATGCATCATAATTTAGCGCAAGGCGACATTTTTGGCCCTTGTTTGATTTCGTCCCAATCCATTCCGTCTGTCAATGGCTTCGCTTGATGTGAATGCTGTGTGCGTCTGTAGGGTAGGGAAATCAAGACTGAAGGCTGGTGGTGAAAAGGGGCACTTCTGGATTCTGCACTAATGAGTCCGGAAGATGGGGGCGTGGAAAGCTCATTTCAACAACGTTGCGAGAACTGATTTATATTCTGGACACTGCGTACAGTTTTCCCTTTCCGTCTTGAACGGACTAGAAAGGCGATGCTGAATCCCTTCGTAGGATTGCCAATGATGGAGGTGAAGGCTGGGCTTTTTACGGCACACTTAAGTCCTATAGTTTCTGGTCAACTTGACTGGCACACACATTCACATTCAGGTTGGCTTTGTTGACTAAAGCACAGCGACTTGTCCGCGTGTAAGCGAATACAAAGTCTGCCTTAAACACAGCTTAACACACAGATTGGCCTTCTGATTCTGGACTTAGTTAGCCCAACGAATAGACTGGAATTGGCGAATGCAGCGTACAGGATCTGTACATTGTGCCATTAGTACACTGAAATATATATATATTTGGATAGGAGGATGCTTTGAAACCAGATTGACTTGCCTTAAACACTTCTTGGCAGATGAAACCCTCCGAGGTAAGGAGTCAGTTCAAGCTTATTCGCGGCAGACCTCGTTGCATGGCAGACGAGG